GGGTATAGGTCATACAGCTCCTTGCTGATCCATGACAGTTCAGCAATCTCTGTGATGGGTCAGACCGTGGTGAGAGTATAGGTGCAGAGAGTATGAATCACACCACACTATGTTCTCCCAGATCAAAGAAACATGACAACTGCCACCAGCAAAGAGGACAGTTAAATGGAAATTCCAAATATATATAACATACTTTTAGATTATACTCTTGAACTTCTGGGGTTATATCATTTTGAAGTGATATTGGAAGATGTTGGGAAAATAGATTTTCATTTCTTTCTCATTGGAAATCAGTTTTTCCAAGAAAAACCTAACTTAACCCAACCTTTCAATGTATAAAACATTATAACAATATTATTATGGGGCTACAGAGATGACTCAGCAGTTAAAGAGTATTTGCTGCCCAATATAAGGACCAGGAATCTCTCTCTCTCTTGAGGGCGCACGCGCGTGCACACACACACACACACACATACCCCTGTAACTACAGCTCTGGGCATTTAATACCTTTGGCTTCCATAAATCTATTCATGTGTATGCACACATGCAGAGAGAATATTATATAATCTCATACTATTAAATTATACTTCCCCCCCCCCAAAATTGCCAGTGTAGTGCTAGGTGGGGTTAATGTGCATGCCTGTAAATACCAGCGCTCAGGAGGCTAAGGCAGGGGATCAGTTCTTTCAGGCCAGCCTTAATAGCATGACCTTGACTTAGTTACTTTTCTGTTGCTGTGGAGAGACACTATGACCAAGGCAATTTCTAAAAGCATTAAATTGGGGGCTTGCTTACAGTTTTAGAGGGTGAATCCATGACCATCATGGTTGGGAGTATGGCATCAGGTAGGCAAGCATGGCACTGGAGCAGTACCTCAGAACTTAGATCTTATCTTCAAGTTGGAGACAGAATGAGATAGCTTGGAGTGAACTTTGAAACACAAAGTCCATCCTCAGTGACATACCTCCTCTAAAAAGGCCACACTTCCTGGCCCTTCCCAAAATGGTTCCAACTGTCAACAAAGCATTCAAATATGAGTCTACGGGAGTCATTCTCACCCAAACTACCACAAAGCCTTTTAGACACATACTCAGGTTAATTGAGGTACAGTGTGAGCTTTTAAATTGCTGGGCTTCATGACATTTTCACACATTTATGTAATGTACATAGATCACAGTCACCCCACCCCCTTTTCCCTTTCCCTTGAACAGGGGCCCTTCTATGTTGTATCTTATATTTTTGATTGTGAGTATAGCCTTTAATGGCTGAGCCATCTCTCCAGCCCTACGTTGTATCTTAAAAACCAAACCAAACAACAACAAAAACCAAAACTGTACTCTAGCAGGCAAGGTAGAACATGCCTTCTACCCCAGAGCTGTGGAGGTTGAGGTTCAAGGCCAGCCTGGTCTATAAATTGAATTCTAGGCCAGCCAGGGTCATACAGTAAGAACCTGTTTCAAAACAAGTAAGCAAAAAAAAAAAAAAAAAAAAAAAAATCTAGATTCTATCTGGGAGAAAATGTGATATTAGGCCTATTTTGCTTAACATGATCTCTAGTCCTATCCATTTTCCTGCAAATGACATAATTCCACTTAAGGTGGATGGAATACTCCCTGAGCACATATGCCGTATTTTCTTTGCGTATGCACACCTGGGCTGGATCTCACCCTGGCTACCATGACCAGCACAACAGTGAGCATGGGTCTGGCATTCTCTGCTGGGCTACTTCTGACTCCTTCTGGTGTATATCCAGCAGGATCATATGGTGCTTTTATTTTTAGTTGCCTAAAAAAAAAAAAAAAGAAAGAAATCCCAGAATTGATTTCCATGGTGGCTAAAGTAACTTACATTCCTTCTAACAGTGTATAAGAATTCTTTTCTCTACATCCTTACCAGCATTTTTCTTGATCACACCCATTTTGCAGGGGTGAAACGGATTCTTAATGCAGTTTTGATTTTCATTTCCTTTATAGCAAAAAGTGTTGATATGGGTTTGTGTGTGTGTTCATTGGTCACTTGTATTTCTTTTTAAAAAATTGTACTTTTTTTGAGAATTGTCTGTTTAAAAAATTTGCCCAGTGATTGACTGGACTATTTGTTCTATTGTTAAATCATGTTTTTATTTTCTATATGCAGAAATATACAGTTATTTGCATGTTTGCCGCTGGCATTTTAAATTGTTTCCTGTTATATTACCTACAAGCCACTTTTGATTGGTATTTTCATCCTTCTTCACAAATATGTCATAATCTGACACCAATGTTTGTTTTTTGTCCAACTATTGGTAAAACACAAGTACTGGGCCAAAGATGGACATTATCAGGCATATGACAAGTATTTGGCTTTAACCAGACACTCATCGTATGAGCGACTGCTGAGACAAGGAAGAATTAAGTAAGAAGTTTCGGAAAGACACTGAAGGTCTTGGCAAAGGCATGAAACAATACATTGATGTTCTAAGATCTTTCAGCCACACAGCACACATTGGACATGCTTAAATTTACTCTTCAACTGTCAGTTTCCACTACAAGCTCAGTGTGTACTAGGGACTGTGAGTCATCTAAAGACTAACAACTCTTAGTGACAATGTCCAACACAGATTGAAAAATAGGTGGTGTGGTGGTTTGAACAGGAATGGGCTCCATAGACTCATGTATGTGAATGCTTGGTTCATAGGGAGTGGCACTATTAAGAGGTGTGGCCTTGCTGGAGGAAGTGTGTCATTGTGGAGGTGGGACTTTGATGTATTAAATGCTCAAGCTATGCCTAGTGTGAAACAAAACCTCTAGTCTCCTCCTGGCTTCCTGTGGATCAAGATGTAAAATTCTCAACTTGTCCAGCACTATGTCTTCTTACACAATATATGCTTTCCACCACAATGATAATGGACTAAACCTTTGAAACTGCAACCCTGACCTAATTAAATATTTGCCTTTATAAGAGTTGCCTTGGTCATGGTGTCTCTTCACAACAGTGGGAATCCTAACTAAGACTGAAGGGTACTCAGAGTTTATTTCCTTTAAAGTAAATTCTGCTGATGAAATAGCTGCAAACCACACAGGTGATTCTGCTTGCCTAAACTTCTCAGATAAACTGGTGCTGAGACTGGAGCATGGAACTTACTCAGTTCTCTTTCCATCACAGCTCTTGTGATATCCTGCCATCATGTAAGATTAAGTTTCTTGAAAATCATGAGAGGTATAATTCCTAGTGGGTTTGGAACTGCTAGTGCCACAAGCTCCCTGGACTGTGAGTGTGGGTGGGCTTACTTCATAAAATTACCATCACTATGTCAATATCAGCCTATGTTGCAAATGTTTTAAAGTGTTTTCTACAGGCTGGTGACTTGGTTCAGCAGGTAAAGGCTTCTGCTGTCAATCCTGACAACCTAAGTTCGACCACTGTGATTCATATGGTGGAAGGAGAAAACAGAATCTAGAAATGTTCTCTGACCCTGACACCTGCATGTGATGTGTACACACTGTTCCCCATAAATAAATAAATGGAATAACTTAAAAATAAATGTTTTTTTTTGTCATTAGTCACACAGGTTTAAAGCTAAACATCACTCTTTTCCAAAGATGCCTTTTCTAGGAAGCTTATTGTTTTTTTACACAGCTTTCTCATATTACATTTGAAATAATACCTCTATCTCATTATGTGTCTTTTCTAATAGGTAATATCCATAAAGTGTCACTTCTGTTTGCACATAACTGCTTAGTGCCTAGCACACTACTGACACACAAAAAAAGCTCAACCAGTATTCTTTGAATACACAATGGACTTCTCCTTCTCATCATGGCTGCAGCAAGTCCTATGAAAGTCCTCTTACCCTCTTCCCGTTTCCTAGACTTAGTACGGAAGGACAAGCAGACCGGAGCTGGGGCGTTAGCTCAGCAATCCTGCTGATTACCAAGATTCAGCAACGGAATGAACATCTTTTCAAGAAAAAACAAACAAACAACCCCAACAACAAAGTAAGACCAAAAATAAACAACAACAACACCCCAAAACATGAAGCACAGAGGTGTTCTCTGCAGAAGTTCAATCTTCAGATGTTAATTTTGAATTAGGTTAAGAAACACAACTTAAAATGGTTAAAAACTAACCAAAGGGAGGGCCAGGTATAGTTGTGCACAACTGAGGTCAAGGCCAGTTTTGTCTACTTAGAAAGTTCCAGGACAGTCAGAGCTACATAGAGAGAGAGACCCTGTCACCTCCAACCCCACAAAGAGAATTAACCTAAGAGGGCTGGAGAGATGGCTGAGCAGTTAAGGGGACTGGCTGCTCTTCCAGAGGAACCAGGGTCTATTCCCAGCATCTACATCTACACAGCAGCTCACAACCATCTCTAACTACAAATTCCAGGGGATCAGATACCCCCGGCATGCAACTGGTGCAGAGAAAATAACCAGACACATAAAATTAAATAAAAAATAATTAACCTGCAATAGTATCAAATGAAACTGAAAATTATTTTAGGTATGCATATCTTTTTATCATTATTTGATACATATCAATTCTACTGAATTCACAACCAACAATAGTTCCAGATAAATGAAGCCCAGTGAAGACTAAAACAAGTCAAGGGACTTTAAAAGCATGACACTCCTACTCCTACCCATGCCATGGATCAAACCCAGAGCCCCAAGCATGCTAGGCAAATGCTCTAACTCTGAGCTACATTTCGAGTTCATACATGGTTTTAAATACACACACAAATTCAAGTGTGTCCAAGTACTTACTGTAACAACTCTGAAGAAATGATGTTCAGTTTATACAAAGTAAGTGATTCTGTCCAAGGTGTTGGCAGTGTCAGATCTTGAGCTCCCAAAGTGGCACTGGTCACATTCTATCATGCTACACCATATTCTAAAATTACCCACTCGCATAGGTTTGGCTATATTTCCAACCCTACCTTCGATTTAGAAGATATGTTTCTTCTAAATTTCACTGAGAAAGGATCAAGCAGAATTTAAAAATAACTTTCTTCATAGGCATCAACTTAAAAAAAACATTTTAATGACTATTAGAATATTTATAAACATCTAATATAAATGAACTAGAACAATGATTAACAAGTTTAAATGATTAATGTTAGCTTTTTAACTTTTAAAGCTAAAGAGCAACAGTTATTAAATGTGATTTTTTTCACCACACAATGATGAATGTTTCAATTCAGAACAGCCACTTCATTAATCGATTTAGACTTTGAAAAGGAGTATTTTCTTCTATAAAGTTGAGTAAAGCACCGAGAATAAGATTGGCACTGCGTAAGTTTAAATGCCAAGGGAGAAAAGGGTCAATGTCACCTTATTTTTTAGCCACTAGTTGTTTAAAAACAAAACAAAACAAAAAAACCAACCAACCAACCAAACAAACAAAAAACCAAAGGGACGTAAGCTACCAATGAGAGTCTAAGCAAGGTGAGTCATGTCCATCAGGTCCGAGTCCCTGAGGAACTCTGAGACCCTACACTTCCACATCTTCCTCTCTTCTTTCTTAAGATGCTATCCAGGCTCAAGTTTCTCTCCTGTACCAGCTTCTCCAGGAGCTGGACAACATGCCCAGCTACTACACCTTTTTTTTTCCTAATTGAGGTAACATATTTTAAAGTCCACTTGAGAAAGTATTTCTCTTTGGGGGAGTTTAGCTGTCCATGAAAAGCCTTTGATGATCAAATCCATTTGTATTTTTCATAGCACAAGAATTGTGCACTGAAATCCACATTTCCAGAATGCAAACAGCCAGCCTTCTCTATACACACTCATGTGCAGAGTCTTGGTGATAGAGCACTTTCCATTAAACAATCTTTCAGCTACAAAAGACACGAATGAGTAAATCTTGGAAAAGGGATGACATCTTTGATATTGTCAACTCCTAGGATGCACTGTAAGTAGCGTTCAAATCCCATCCCGAAGCCTCCATGTGGCACAGATCCAAACTTGCGAAGGTCCAGGTACCTGTTTTTGAAGACAGAGTCATTACTTGTAAATGGGGTCAAATGCGTTGATGGGAGGTTTGGGTTTTGTGAGTATTTTGCAGTTGTTTGGTTTTTGTCTCTGTGGCAGAACAGATCCATCTTTTCACTCCACAGAGATCATGAAAATGGAGGACATAAAGTGACCTAGCTATGCAGGGCCACTCAGACACAGCAGCAGACTGCTGTGCAGCTGTGAGCTCTGGTCACTTGACATTTATTCTTTTCAAGTTGCCTAAGTGTCATTTACACACAGAAAACTCACCTCATGACACTACAGAGATATTATACTAGACTTCTTAAAAACACTCTTTTCTTTTTTTGTATGCTTATGACAGCATTTCCCCCTCACTCAAGTCCTATCATTCAACACACAGAGGAGAATGAAGAGTTTGTTGATGTTGCTTGTGTATCTATGTACCTATGCTTGTGTGGGCACATGTGGAGGCCAGAAATGGATGTCAGGTATCTTCCTCAATCATTCTCTATGTTTTGAGACAGAGTCTGAATTTGGAGCTCACCAATTCTGCTAGACTGGCTCACCAGCAGAGGCCTCTGTCGCACTCCCTGCTACAGTGCTGGGGTTACAGATGTAAGCTGCTGTCTTTGGCTTTTTACATGGGTGCTGGGGCCTGAACTCAGATCCTTATGCTTGTATGACAAGCATTTTACCAACTCAGCCATCTCTCTATCCCTGAGAATGAAGAGTTAATAAGAGATTTTGCTTTTTAGAAAGATTTCATTCTATGTGGACAGGCGTTTTGCCTGCATTCGTGTTTGTGCACCATGTGCGTGCAATGCCTGCAGACCAGAAGAGGGCATTCGTTCCTTTGGAACTGCAGTTAAGGATTGTTGTCATGTGGTGCTGGGAATCAAAGCCAGGTCCTCTGGAAGAGCTAAACTATCTCTTAAATACTAAGCCATTTCTCCAGCTCCAAGATTTTGCACTTTATGAGATTATACAGTTCTGTCAGGAGCAGGCATAGTCTCAGGCAATCTTTTTTTCTGCAGGGAATGTTCTAGAGTAGCTGTTCATTCCACAAAACTCAATTGTTTTTAAAGTAGAAAACCATACTGTTGAGTTGGGAAGTGAAAGGAAACTTCCAGTTCTCTGCTTCAGGGTAGGGAACATGCTATCCCTTTTCTGGAATGGGAGGTCACCTCCAATGCTTATTGTGCACATTCTGCTACCACTTAAGTCTTCATGGTTAAAAAATGGTACAGCTATGACTGAAACTCAGATTCCTACAAACTAGCATGGAATAAAGTTATCTGGGGAGTAAAGGTAAAGGATGGCCCTACAAATGGTCAAAGAACAACTTTTAAGAGTCCTATCTCTCCTTCTACCAAAGTGACCTAGGAATCAAACTAAAGTTGTCAGGTTTGGTGGCAAGTCCCTTTACCCACTGAGCCATCTCACTGTTCCTAGCTTGAAAATCCTTGAGTTATATACATGAATTAAATAAAGTTCATAATTTCTCAAATAATTTGTAAATCAGCTCCATAGTTAGACTTAAAAGCACCACAATGAGTAGCCATTTGGCTCTTTGGTTCTGGTATTAATAAATTCACACTTTAAGGTAAAGATTCTAACATAAAAAACAAATAATCATTAGATGAGCTGTATCCAAGTGAGATCATTATGACAGGGATTATTAGAACACTTCTGATTATTAAGAACTAGAGGGAATAAATGGGATAAACATAGTCTTGTTAAGTGGTTTCGATGGCTGAATTCACTGCAGGTTTACAAGGCATGGGACAAGTATACCTCAACTCACTGACAATCTGAGGTGAAGGTACAACAAACCGGTTGTCAAAACCTGCAGGAACCATGTAGGCTGCAGAGATTCAGCAATGGCTTTCATGTCTCTAAATTTCTCATGTACTGATGTCAAAACACTGACTTGGCAGGAGGATCCAGCTTACTAAGTCTTGCCTGACTTTGTTTTGATATAGAAAACAAAAATCTACTTTTAATTTAAAAAGTGGATTTTTTTTGAACAGGAGTCACTATGTAATTCCAGTTGGCCTGAAACTCATTATGTAGACTAGGCTGGCCTCAAACTTACAGAGATGCTCTTGCCTTAGACTTCTGAGTGCTAGGTCACAGCTTATTATCATGTCATGCTTCAGATCTGTATTTTTTGACAATTAGATTGATTTTGGGGCAAGTAGATATAGAAAAGATGCCAAAAATACAAATGGAACTGGTTACTAATTTTATATGCATATGGTAAGAAATAGGAAGTGAGCGTACTCCCAGACACCTGGCTTCTCAAAGTACAGAGAAACTTTCATAGAGACTGTGGATGCAAAATTTTCTCAAGTTCCTTTTACCTTTAACATACTATGACTACCACATAAGAGGAAGTGAAGTCAAGTCAGAATTATTTATAGTTAAAGATCCTAAGTGTGACGCCCTTAGTTAGAAAAATAGTATAGGACCTAGAAAGATGACTTAGTTGGTATGATCACATGTAGTTAAGCCTGTTGTCATGAGTTCTATTGTAGGACCTATGAGGCAGATAGAGCGACCTGACTCCAAAGGGCTGTCCTCTGATCTCCACACATGAATTGTGGCATGTGAATCTTTCTCCTCCCCCAAACACGGTTAAAATATTTTCAAAAAAGAAAAAATAGTATAGACATGATTAATAAATATCATACTTACTTAACCAATATATAATAAGATTTGTTGTTGTCTAAATAAGTTTTAAAACACTCTATTAGCTGATAGAATCTGAGGGACACAAACAGTATAACTGGCTCAACAGACTTACCCACTAAATAACAAAACTTAGAAGGAAAGGGGTAGAAACTCGCGTTTGCTGAACTGCTTCTACTCTGTGTGAATACAAGGTCTGGACTTTTTCATGTCTACAGTAACGTTGAAGCAGATATTATCATTTCATTTTATAATCATGAAAAGCAAAAAAATTAAAAGACAGTGAGATAATTAAAGATATTGCTGGCAAACTACCAGGCAATCAAAAACCCTTAGCTGAACTTTGAAACTCTGAAACCTATCTCCTTCCTTAACAAAAGGCAAGAGTACAGTCTGTCCTTTCCTTCCTCTAAGAACAAAATGGCTAATGATACTGCTGATATTTTATTACGATCCTAAAACAGCACTATGTAGACATGTAAGTAATTTGTCTGCATTTGACGAGTCTTGCAATAAAACAAAAACAAAAACAAAAAACCCAAACCACAAAAACTTTGTGGCAGTGAAAGTGACCGTGACAGGTTCTACAGCTCTTGGATATCTAAGGTGTCACTTAATTAACGCTCCCAGTATCACACCTAGGGAACTGAAGCATGACGAATGACAGCACAGGCTTCTGCCTGGCCTAGGTAGTAAGTAAGACCCTGTTGCAATAAATGAACAAAAACACATGGAAGATTTTGGTTTATGAGTTCTCGGCTCCCTCCTAACTACAATACTAAGTTCATATGCCCAGGCCTCATGTTTGGGGGAGGGGGAGTGATACATGGATAACATCAGTATCCACCTCTCTTGTGAAGGGTTGTGATGACTACATGAAGTAACAAAAACTGGTGAGCATTATTCTGATATATAAGAAGCAGTAACTAAATGGTAACCATTGGTTTTACTGTTTTTCACAGACAGTTTTCTGAGCCTCCTGTTCCCTTCTTAGCATTTGCTTACAGAGGCATGGAAATACAAGTAAGAATCCTTTCCACATCACTCAGAATAGGGCCACATCCTTACCACTGGTAAGCTTTTGTAAGTCCTGATCTGTAAACAGAAAATAAAGAAAAATTGTGTCAATAGCAATAAAACATTAATCAACCACCAAACATTTATTCTGGGGTATATATGCAGGGCCCTTTGTAAGGAAACAGACACGGTGAAGCTTGTGTCCTCCAATCAGTGCGACAGAACTGAGGAGGTTTAGTTTCCAAAAGGAAGACTTTTATTAATAAGGTAACCAATACTAACAGTAAGCAACGAGGTTCTATGAAACGAGAGGTGTGGGTAATAAATGCTGTAGAATGAAAACAGGACTTGAAGGGACTGATGTGACTCGAGCTTCCTGACCAGGAAGGGAGTCAAGTCAGGCCGCCAGTCCAGTCAGGGTGCCTGGGGGCACACACAGATAGCAAACACCTGGACACGACTTTTATTCCACTGCATTTACAAGAACGTGCAAGTCTGAGGTGGCTTTCATAATACTGCTACACTTTAGCGCTCATCTAGAGAAACGGGAGTGACGCTTTCAGCTCTTAGGTGGTCATTAAACTTCACTTCCGCCCTTCAAAAGGTATTTAGGGCTGTATCTGAAATGGCAAGGACCACTGATGTTCTAACTTTCTGAAACAGAGAAAACGTGAACCACGGCCACAGACAGATCCACAGACAGAGGGACACATCTACCTTACTGAGAAGGAAAACATTGGCTATTACCAGCTATGACATAAGCAGTTAATGCTATGATGGGAAGGTTTCCTGGAGGAAGGAAGCAACTGAAGAAAATGGACAGATGCGTCTTTCAGCAGATGAGGCTTCTTGCCACATGCGATGTTTACTATGCTTACATTTTTTTTTAAAGAAAAAGTTAAAAATTCTTTCATCTAGAGATTCTGACCTTCACTTTAATTTGACAACTTCCCTTCCCCAGGACTGTCTAAGAGTGAGAGGCAGCAAGGAGGTGGTTGTCTAATGAATAAAAGGAATCTTCTCTAATAGCCTTTACTTCCTTCCCTCTCTTGGAGCCTTATCCAGCAGAGCAGCCAAGAAGGCCGGATTTGCGACACCAAGTTACTCAAGACATTTACAGCTGGGGATCTTGGGAAAACATCAACTTTCAAGGCATGGCTTCATTAGGAAAAGTTGGCCTTTAAAATGGCTAATTTAACAGAATATTTTCCAATTTTTTTTTCCCTCAAATGTAACAAAACTGAGTACTATTGGAGAGGAGTATTAACACAGACATGAGAAAAGGATGTTTTATTGCCTGGTACAGCAAAAAATCAGAAAACAGGCTTATAACTACAGCCAGTTTTGGAAGTCATCATGGTTTTCTGGCAGATCATGAATACACAGGAGTGAAGTCAATTAGAAATGATTCCCGACTTTCTAGCTCCAAAATGTTTTTTTATGTATCTACGGATTCATTTTCCACATCTCAAAAAGTAAATTAAAACAAAGTCATTCAAACATCTAAATCAGGACTGTGCAGAGCTGAGAACTCAAAGAAAGAAAATATACAGTTAAATGCTAGCTTAGCATTTTCTATCTTTCCTCTTTGCGTAGTTCAGTCTGTCTTTATGACACAGTGGGATCATGACATTCATAAAACACAGTACATAAAAAGGACACAAGTAAGAGAAAAATGAGGGAGAAGCTTTGAAGGGCTTGGGAATATTACTTTCATTTTTTTTAAAGACAGGGTCTTAAATTTTATATAATTGTGTCTGACCTGGAACACACAATGGAGACCAGGATGACCTTGAAACTTAAAAATGATCCTCCTGCTTCTGCTCTGAGTGCTGGACCCACAGGCATGTTGTGTTCTCTCTCTCTCTCTCTCTCTCTCTCTCTCTCTCTCTCTCTCTCTCTCTCTCTCTCTCTCCCTCCCTCCCCTCCCCTCCCCTCCCCTCCCCCTGTTCTTACTCTCTGGCTTATAACCTGTGAAATTTTTTCTCTTGTGTCAGCCTCTCCCTGAGATTGTAAGCGTGTACCTGCCAATAGATCTAGTCTTCAAGAACAAGATACTCACAGCTGTTAGAACAACCTTTGTTGGTCACTTGGAGCCAAAGTGCCAGGCCAGCCAGGTGTGCGGAGGCCAAGGCTTTGTCTGTGTTACTGTGCAGGGACAGCCTTTGAGGATTCCACCCCAGCTACTTAAGTGTGCTTCTTTTAGGTCTGATCAATACCTTGTTAGTCGCTGCTCTAGGATGTGGTACCGTTCCTCCCTGAGGCTACCTCCAAAGAGCTCCCCAACTCCAGGAACTAGAAGATCTACAGCAGCAACCTAAAGAACAAACCAACCAACCATGAACAACAGTGCTATTCCTGGTGATTCCAATGACACTCAGATTTTCAAGCAAATCGAACATTTTCTTGAAACAATTTTAAAATTAGCTGTTTGATGAGAAAAATTTCATCCACTTTTTCTGTCCACATTCTCTGTTTCAATAACAAATTAGTATCAGTAAGTTATGGGCAGAGTTCTCCCTTACATTATGTGTGAGATTATCAAAAATTCAAGGAAAGTCTTGCAAGCAATCCCCACCCTGACCGTCAAGAACAAGGAGAAACAGCAGAGAAGAGAAAGACTTAGGTGAGTTCTGACAAACAGCATTTGGATGAGATTAAAGGCCCCATGTGAAGAAAGCGGTATAGATTTGTGCACAATAAGATTTATGAGGAATGAAAAATTTAAAAAAATTTAGATTTATCTTATGTATATGAGTACTTTACTGACATGTACATATATGTACTATGTGTGCCTGGTGCATCCAGTGGTTTTAAGAGGACATAGGATCCCCAGGATTTACAGTTGTGAGCCACCATGTGGATACTAGGAACTGAACCCTTGTCTTCTGTAAGAGCAACAAGTACTTTTAGTCTCTGAGCCATCTCTCCAGCCCCCATTCTGTTTGAAAAAGAATCTATATAACCTGGCTTGCCCAGAACTAGTTATGCAGATTAGATTGACCTCAAAATTTGGCTTTGAACTTAGTGATCATTTTGTCTCTGCCTCCCAAATGCTGTGCTAGCAGGTGTAAACCACTAAGCCTGGCTCTAAAATAAGTATTGTTTAGGGACAAAAGATTCACAGGAAGATTTATCTATACTCCAGACCAGGAATGGACAAAGGGCTAGGATGAGGCGGCCTGCTGGTGCTCCTCTGGCTACCTCAGTCTGGTAACCACAGATTTGTATGTACGAGGCACTAGTTTCTTCTCCTTGACTATCACTGAAGGGAACTACTAAATTAATACAAAAGGTAAGAACATGCCACACACAGATTTGATGTGATAAAGCTCATAAAATAACATCTGATATACAAGATAGCACTTGTTTGAGGGGAAACAATTCTGAAGTTGCAGTGTTTCCAAAGAAAGACAACATGAACTAGAAACAAGTGCACACTGGGGTTTTCAATAAATACTCACCTGAGTACTGCATATACAATGTAAAGAGACATTAATTATATAATTATATATTTATAGTTTTGAGACAGGGTCATACTGTGTAGCCCTGGCTTGCCTGGAACTTGCTACATAGACCAGACTAGCTTGGAACTTGCAGACATCCACCTGCTTCTAGTTCCCAAATGCTTCTCCAAATGCATGCACCACAATGCCTGGCCAATTATCTACTTTTAATATTTTTTTTGAGTTTTGTAAATTTTCCACAATACTAAACAAATTAAAAAGGTACCATCTTAAGCAAAATAGCTTAATTATTTCTTTTGAGATCATGGGCTCAACTACTACCATAAGCTCAATATAAGACTAGAACCACTGTATATATTCAAGTGCAAACCCCTAATATTCAATAAATAACAAATACAAAATGATCAAAATATGTTTTCTTTTTCATACAGCATCCCCTGCTTGGTTTTGATGCAAATATAACTAAAACAAATGGAAAACATACTTCTGGGATCTTAGAACTTATCACAGAATAAAATTATAGTAATTCTGGAGTTAGTTTTTTGTTTTATTATTCTATTTTTTAAAGAAGCATAGAGGACTGATGCTCATCTTGGACTGCACACCTCTTGACATGAGTTCATTGGAGAGTTCGCCCTGTGACCACAGTACTCCCTAGGCATTCTGGGTGGTTTTTATTTATAAGGAACATAACAATTGCAGTAGTCACCTTTAGCCTTTTACTCTTACCTATGTGTTCCCCCAGCCCCTGCACAGAGGCCAAAGGGCATAGGATTCTCTAGAGCTACAGGCAGTGAGTCACCTAATGTGGTTGCTAGGGACTGAAGTTGGGCTCTGTCAGAGCAGCAAGCACTCTTGGTCACTGAGCCATCTCATTAGCTCCTTGAATCTCCTTTAAAACTTACGTCATGGTATTATACTCATGCATACTTAAAAAACATCTAATCCTGTCTTAATTACAAGGATGACTAACTGGCTATCTTCAACTACTTCTGCATTAACTATTATAAAATTGAGGTGACAGAGGCTATATTAGGATAGGCTAGAAGTAGGCTAAAATCATAAAACTCCATGGTTTTTCAAGTCTCAGCATTAACAACATTTTTGGCTAGATAATTTTTAGTTTTAAGGGCCTGAAGTATATACTGTAGAACTTCATTTTCCCTTTGGTGCTGGGGGTAGAACTTAGGTCTCTATGTGCTCTGTCACCGAGCTGTACTCAGTCCATTGTAAGATACTTTGCAGCTCGATTGGCTTCCACTCACTAGATGTCAGATATACTACTTGCCTAGCAGGTCAAACCTAAGTGTCTCCAGGCATTGCTAAATGTCATCAAGAGGCTAGAGAAAGAAGGGCAATCAATCCTAACTAAAAATTACTAGTTTATGGGCTGCCAAGTAAAAGGTGCTTGCTGCTAAGCATAATGACTTCAGTTTGATCCAGAATCCACACGGTGGAAGGAAAGAACTAATTTCGCCATGTTGCTCTTTGACCTCCACATATGTGCCATGGCATGTGTGGATCATAATACACACATGCCTGTGCATATATATATATATATATATGTAAAAAGAACTACTAGTTTACAATGAATTTCCCCATGTACATACATATATATAAAAAATCTGCCTTTTTAAACTGCCCTGGAGTCTCTTTTAAAAGTTTTGGAGCAGACAGTAAAAAAGAATTTAGAAATCTGTTAAAAACATATGCTAAAAAATATTTTACTTCTGCTCATAATCCTTTGACTAATGCAATTTACATGACAAAGCTCATGTCAACAGGGCGGGAAAGTGTAATACACACTGAGGGAGAAGCAGAAACTTGCGTGTAGCAAGAGTCCACTCCATTGCTCATTGTCTCTTTCGCTTGTATTGTTCCAACAAGTTCTTCACTATTTATTACAATGAAGAACAGAATAGTTATTCTCTTATCTTCCTCCATCAGACAAGAAAAATACAAAGTACTATAAATAATCACAGTTCAAAATCATTACCAAAAGTACTGGTATCAAATGACCACGAACAGTCCTCACAACTATTTCTGATGTGCCACGTTACAGGTGACTCTGAAACTAGCCTGTCAGCACCTCTTATCTGCCCAGTCAGCTGTTGCATGCCCAGCTGTGAACACAGCTAGATTTTGGCGGAATGCCTTAAACCAGCTAGAGCAGTGGTTCTCAACCTGTGGGTACAGGGGTTACATATCAGATATCCTGCATATCAGATATTTACATTATGATATTTATATAGTTCATAACAATGGAAAAATTACAGTTATGAAGTAGCAAAAAAAATATTTTGACTGAGACTCACCAAAACATGAGAACCTGTATTAAAGGGTTGCAGAATGAGGAGGGTTGAGAACCACTGAGCTACAGCTTATCATCAGAAGCTGAAAATTTTGAAAATATCCTTCGAAAAATATCTGTATCTTTTAATTATGTGGCACACTTATTTATCTGTACTTTTGAATTTCATTATGACTACTGAACAACAAGCGAATGGCACAGGAACCCTCGGCGCTCCCTGTTTGTCTTTTTCTTAGGATTTATCAAATCATAGGCAAAATTCAGCCCATGACCTTGAATTCTTAAATATTCTTTGTACTATTTGTACTTTAAAGAAGAAAACAGGTTCTAAGAGAACAGAATACAGGATCAGCACAAAACACTGGTGTAGATCTGGTAGTTCTGGGATCAGAAACTGGAGCTAACCATCTCATGAAAGATTTGTCAGTTGTAGAGAAAAATGTCTTAATTCAAAGATGACCTAGTTTGAGTTCTTTAAGTATGAATCTTCACTGTGTTTCTTTGAAGCCTGGAAATTTTTTCTTTTTATTAAATGTATTTATTCACTTTACAAGCCAACATGAGCCCTTCCTCTCCTCCCAGTACTCCCTCATGTTAAGTCCTCCCCCATTCCCCTTAGCAGGGGAACCCCCACTCTGGTTAACCCCCCCAGGTCCCCATCCTACCCCCCCACTACCCACCCACCCCCATATACAGCAAGTTGCTTCGGGACTAGGCATGTCCTCTCTTACTGAGGCCAGATAAGGCTGCCCATTTAGGGGTGTGGGATTCAGAGGCAGCCAGGCAACAGGCTCAGGGACAGCCCCTGCTGTAGCTGTTCTGGGACACAAAGGAAGACCAAGCTGCTCATCTGCTACTTATGTGCAGGGGAACTAGATCCAGCTGGTGCTCACTCTTTGGTTGGTGATTCAGCCTCTGGGAGCCCCTAAGAGTCCAGGTTAGTTGCCTCTGTTGGTCTTCCTGTGGAGTCCCTGTCCTCTTCGGGTCCCTCAATCGTTTCCCCACCTCTCCTGATGGAGCACTGCCTGAGCTCCATCTACTGTTTGGCTGTGAGTCTCTGCATCTCTTTCCATTGGCTGTTGAGTAGAGCTTCTCAGAGGACCATTATGCTAGGTTCCTGTCATGCATGTCCTTTTGGGTCTCGGTTACCTCACTTATTTTCTAGATTCATCCATTTGCCTGTGAAATTCATGATGTCCTTGTTTTTAATGCAGCCTGGAAATTTTAATAATGGAAGCACTTTGGCTCTGCTGCCCATTCATTCTCCTGCTAAGGAAATACCAGAGGCCACAGGTATACTCTTTTGCACATTTCCCAAACTCTCCTAGCTTAAACAAACCTGTTTCATTCTGTACATCTTCTAGGTCCAGAATGCTTCCTGGCCTATCTTCCTCCGTGGGTATGAGTTTTGATTCTGTTTAAGTTACACAGCTGCAGCAGCAAGCTGTCATGAAATAGTTCATGTTGGTATTCAAGCTAAGTGAACCCTGGTTTCTACTTATGATGTTCCCTTCTGACGCTGGCTCTCTGATCCAATCA